GTGTGACTCAGTGAGTTGGAGCATCATCCCATACACATGGTAAGGGCATATACCTGGGTTGTGGGTTCGATCCCCACTGAGGGTGGATATGTCAGGCAACTAATCGATCTCTCTCTCTCTCTCTCTCTCTCTCTCTCTCTCTCTCTCTCAAAACAATTTTTTAAAGTTATGTAAATTTGTTTCTTATCTGGAGCTTTCCAATGTCTACTTTGAGAAGCAAGGTGTTCATAGGAAAGCACATAGAAAGTGCATGCTGCCTTAACCAGTTTGGCTCACTGGATAGAGCATTAGCCTAAGGACTGAAAGGTCCCAGGTTCGATTCTGGTCAAAGGCATGTACCTTGATTGCAGACACATTCCCAGTAAGAGGTGTGCAGAAGGCAGCTGATTGATGTTTCTCTCTCATCAATGTTTCTAGCTCTCTATCCTTCCTCTCTATAAAAAATCAATAAAATATATTTTAAAAAAAGAAAAAAAAGAAAGTGCATGCTGTTACCAGTAGCACAGACCATACATTGCACGTGAGAGGCATCAGAGCAGACCTAGGCATGGCAGTGTGTTAGCGAGCACACATAGAACAATCAAAACACCACTAACGGGTGTTTTAAACAACAGGCATTTATTTTCTCACAGTTCTGGAGGCCAGAAGGCTGAGATCAAGGTGTCAGAAAGGTTGGTTTTTGCTAAAGGGACAAGGGAAGGACCTGTTTCAGCCTCTGGGCTTGTACGCGGCCACCTCTTACTGCCTCCTCCTAAGGCCATTCCCCTGCAGGCATATCTTTGGTATCACTTTGTGTGCCCAGATTCCCTCTGCTTAAGGACTCCGATCACATTGGATGAGGGCTCACCCTAAGAGCCTCTGGTAATTTAGTCATCTCCACAAGACCCAATTTCCAAGCACACTCACATTCCGAGGCCCAGGGAGTGAGGGCTTCACATATACATTTTGAGGGTGCTGTTCGCTGATAACAGAGAGGAAGACAAATGGGAAAGATTTTAAAGGAAGGAAAATGGGCGCCACATCAACTGAACAAAAGACAAATGGAAAACCGAAAAATCATCAGTAAAATGTTGGGTTGATCCAGGTCAACCATCAACATCCACTGCAAGGCCAAATTGCTTTGAAAAGAAGACACAGCTCTGTGTTTGGTGGGATCAGGAAGGTGTGGTGTATTATGAGCTTCTAAAACCAGGTGAAACCATTAATATTGATTGCTACCAACAACAAATAATCAATTTGAACCACGCTTTGATTGTAAAATGGCCAGAATGGGCCAGAAGACATGGCAAAGTAATTTGCTTCTTGACGCACCATCACACACTTCAAAACCAGTTAAAGACATGTTAAAAGATCTTGCCTGGGAAGTATTAACCTACCTGCCGTATTCACCAGACCTTGCTCCTTCAGATGACCACTTATTCCAATCGATGGCATACGCACTTTCTGAGCAGCACTTCAAAACATAAGAAGAAGTGGAAAATTGGGTCTCTGAATGATCTGCCTCAAAACAAGAAAAGTTCTATTGGGACGGTATCCACAAGTTACCTGAAAGATGGGGAAAATGTGTGGCTATTAATGGAAATTACTTTGAATAGAGCACTTTTGATATTTCTCTTGAAATTATCCTGTTTTCTTTTATTACAAATCGGCATTTCTAACTGGTTAATGGCTAATCCGCTGCAGTGACCATAGGGGTGCATCTAACTTTGGGAATAAACGTTCTCACATTTTTCAGACAGATACTCAGAAGAGTGGTTGCTGAGTCATTCTATTAGCTTTGAATAATTGTGTGGGTTTTTTTGTTTTTTTGTTTTTTTTTTTGGAGAAGGCGAAGTCCATATTCTTGAGCAAAAAATTGCAAACGAAGCGACTACAAGACATTCATTCTGACCAGTGTGTTGATCCATTTCAATCAATTTGATTTAGAACAAAAGAGCAGTGTGCCAGGGAGCGCCAGGAATAAACAGAGACGGCAAGCACTCCTTGGAAGACTTCCGTTCACGCTCCCTCAGTGCCACCTACCCTTTCTGCGTCCAGCCCGCAGACTTCCCCTGGAGATGCCCACACCATAGTCTCTCTCTCTGGGGCTGTCGGTGGGACAAAATGCAGAGGTGAAACTCAGAACAGGCATTGGTTATGTAACAAATATAGGGAGGAGCAAACACACAGGGAACAGAGAATACAATGGGAGGTTGCAGAATGTTTTGGAGTGCACAGAGAAGCCTTTTAAAAAAATTTTTTAAAAAATATATTTTATTGATTTTTTTACAGAGAGGAAGAGAGAGGGACAGAGAGTTGGAAACATCAATGAGAGAGAATTATCCATCAGCTGCCTCTTGCACACCCCCTACTGGGGATGTGCCCTCAACCAAGGTACATGCCCTAGACCGGAATCGAACTTGGGACCTCCCAGTCCTCAGGCTGAGGCTCTATCCACTGAGCCAAACCTGTTTTGGCCAGAGAACCCTTTTAAGGAAACTAGACTCCCCCCGGGGTCAGGTATCCTATGCAGATGCACTCTGAGACCATATTTGAATCCAGTGTCTCCGGGAATGCTGCAGCTCTAGCCCACTCCGCTCTGAACATACTCTGAATCTCGGCTTCAATATGTTTGTACTTCTCTGTCACCTCCTCCCCACCTCCCAGGCTTGGGCCTTAAGCCCCCGTCTATGTTCTAGGCCTGAGGATTAAACACGCTGCTAAGTGATCGACCTGGTTTAGGATTATGCCCATTGATTTCTCTCTCCCCCCAAAAAAAATTTAAAAAAAAATATTGTCCCTTTATGTCCAGAACACAGAAAAGTTTCATTCCACCATTAGACCCCACTGGGGCTTCCAAACCCAAGGCTATCCCTGTCATTCCGGGCCCCTTCATAGGTGGAAAGGGAGCACAGACACTCCCTGAAGGCAGCAATGCTCCCCACATTGCTCAGAAACCCCAAAGCGAGCAGAGAAGTCAATTTGTTTAAGGAGCCAGAGTCATTTTGTGCAAGGCGAATCTCCAATGAAGGGACAAACTGCCTCACGGAAGGAAGAACTCTGAAAACAGGTCACATTAATTAAAAAAATATTTTTATTGATTTCAGAAAGGAAGGAAAAAGGAGAGAGAGATACAAACAAGAATGCTGAGATGATTGCCTCTTGTATGCCCCCCACTGGGGTCCAGCCCATAACCCAGGCATGTGCCCTTGACCAGAATTGAAAACGGAGGGACCCTTCACTCCACAGGCTGATACTCTGTCCACTGAGCCCAACTGGCTAGAGCCAGGTCAAATTAATTTTATTTATTTTTACAAGAATGTTCACTTACAGATGGCACATAGTTGAGATACCCACTCAAGGAATTATGTCTCATCCCCACCACCCCAAAAGACAAAAGATTGAGAAGCATCTTGCTTCTCCCTATAAAACATTTCTTCCTGCAAAAGCCATTCTTTATGAGGTATGTGTGTGGGCGGAAAACAGAACAAACAAAAGCCTTCAACCCTCAAGGCCTCCACAGCCCCAGAAAAATATACTCCATATTTTCTGCCATAGTTCACATCTTTATCATGGGATGTCAGTTGTCTATTTGGACCATCTGAGCAGCTCCCACCAGGAAATTAAGGAATGAGAAGAGTTCTTCAAGTGGACTTAGACTCCAGCGGGAATCCACCACATGTGAAAAAATTAGAGATGCATTGTCACCTTCTTCTTCAAGTTCTCGTTTCCTGAGGAACAAGGAGAATCAGCGCTGAGAAGGCTTGGAGGCATGTAGGCCAGGCGACAGGAAAGAGTCCGTCTCCCCTGCAGGAGCATGGCTGGCTCCCCACTCTGGCTGGAGGCACAGACACAGCAGTACTGGTAGGCCTGGCAGGTTCCTGGGCTGCTCTCTGATTCTGAGAAGGACAGACAAACTGGTCTCCACCCCGTCCCTTCCTTTCCCATCATTCTCTTCTCAGTTTCCTTCCCTCTCCATTTCATTGTTAGAATAAATTGCAATAGTGTATTCTACATGCTTCAAGTATCCCAGGATTCTCAATGAATTCCAGTCATAAAAACAACAGTGCACTGCATTGAAACAGCCCATTATTGTTCTTCTTAGTGTATATCAACCAAAAGAGAGAGAGAGAGAGAGAGAGAGAGAGAGAGAGAGAGAGAGAGAGAGAGAGAGAGGAGAGAGACAGAGAGAGAGAGAGAGAGGAAGGAAGGAATGGGAAACAAGGTCACACCTTTTCTATGAAACATAATCCAAAGACATCTTGAACCCAGAAATGGCCCCCTGGTTGTATTGACAAATGCAAAGCCAAGCCCAGATTTTCTAATGTGGCATCAGACCACAGTCACTGCTCCACGAATTTCCCCACCTGCCCTTCCCACATGCTCACTGACATGCTGACCTTCTACATGTAAATAAACTTGATACAGCCAGGGCCTGCTTCCAGGTCAAAACCCAACAGATAGAATTTCTAGGTGACAGCAGGTCACCGGTACCTTGGCTTCACTCAGAAGAAACCTGCCTTAGGTCCCTGCAGGAAGTCATTCTCTTTACACAACTCCACGTCTTTCAACAATATCCAGACCGATAAAATGAGGGTTTATTCAGTTCAGGCATTGGAGGAGACAACCAAGGCAGCCAACATAAAGTGTCAAGGTGATGGAAGACAAAAAAAGAGGACAAAGGGGTGTAGGTGAATAAAGAAGATAAAGGAGAAGCAGAAGGAGAAGGTTACTCTGCCTACAGTGGCAGGCTCCTTTCTACCTCATCAGCAATATGAGTCTTTGAGAAAACACTGGCCCCAGACTCAGAAAACCAGCCCTCTGGATTTCATTCTGCCATCACTTCTTACATATGCTTCAAATTCTACCCACTTGAACTCTTTGAATCCTAGTTCCCACATTGGAAAATGGAGGCAATCATAATACATGCATTTTCCCATTTAAAAAAATATTGATGAGAAGCATATAAAAGCAGTTTATAGGTTACAAGGGCACTTCCGTTGTTGGCTACTGTCCTTCCACTACAACTGCTCAGGAAGGAAGCCCAGCTGATGGAGGACTTTCCTGAGAGACGATTTTACCTCCTTATTCCTGAGGCTGTAGATCAAGGGGTTCAGCATGGGGGTGACCAGGTTATTCAGGACCTGAACCGTTGCATCCAGCCAGGGGCTTGGCGTGGGCCGTAAGTAGATGAGGACCACCGGCATGTAGAAGAGCAGGATGGCAGTGAGGTGGGCGCTGCAGGTGGAGAAGGCATGGCGCTGGCCCTCGGAGGAGCGGATGTGCAGGATGGAGTAGACGATGCGACTGTAGGAGGTGAGGATGAGGAGGAAGCAGCTGAGGGGCATGAGGCCCACGCTGACGAAGCCCACCACCTCCAGGGCGGCGGTGTCCGCACAGGCCAGCTTCAGCATCACGGGGATGTCACAGAAGAAGTAGTCCACCTCGTTGGGGCCGCAGTAGGGTAACTGGAAGGTGAGCGTGGTGAGGAAGGTGGCCTGGATGCAGCCAAAAAAGGAGGTCCCCGAGGCCAGGACGGCACACACCCTGGGGCTCATGATGACCTGGTAACGCAGAGGGTGGCAGATGGCCACGAAGCGGTCGTAGGCCATCACCGTGTACAGGAAGCACTCGGTGCAGCCCAGGAAGTGGTAAAAGAAGAGCTGGGACACGCAGCCTGCGTAGGAGATGGCCCGGCTGTGCCCTGAGAGGTAGAAGAGCATCTTGGGGGAGCTCACAGAAGGGAAAAAGATGTCACACACAGACAGCTCACACAGGAAGAAATACATGGGGGTGTGTAGCCGTGTGGAGGAGGCAATGGCCAGCAGGATGAGCAGGTTTCCCACAAGAGTGAAGACGTAGAAGGTCAAGAACAGGACAAAGAGCACGGCCTCCAGGTCCTCTGTGTGCGGGATGCCCAGCAGGATGAACTCGGTCACCACTGAGGCATTCCTCATGGCCGGGCTCAGGCCAGGCCCAGGAACGGGACTCGAGACACCAAAGTCTGATCACCAATAGCAAACTATCTAGCTGTTTGTGTTTTTAACAAGCAGAACCCAGCCCCCTTAGGAATGGCAATGTCTATTTGAAACTTGGAGTTGGTGAGAGATGCTTATGTTAGAGCCACAGTCTCTCCAACCCCTGGAAGGAATGTTTATGTGGAAGCAGGTGGTTGTCTGTGATGACAAGGCCAGGGATTTAAAGGTGTATTCAAAACATTGTCCTGTTATGTGGGAAACCGTTTTACAGTTCTTTAATTCATGGATTTACTCTCTTTAGGCGTATTTCTCACAATACTTTAAGCAACAAAGTCACACGCTTTAATACCCTCTGGAAAATGTCAGGAAAAGAAATGGCATTAGAAATCAGAACACTTCATTTAAATCCTGGTTTTGTCACCTATTAGCTGTACTCCTTTAAATAATTCACACAACATCTTTACAGACATAGTTCCATTACCTAAGAAATAAAAGTCATAATGATCATAAAACAACAAACATACCCTAGTACAATAGCAAAGTTTCTGAGATGTCTGTGAAAATATTTGGCAAAGAAAAAAATGCAAATGAAAAAAGTTTGTTTCTTTTATGAATCTTAGAAGTTATTTCTTTACGTGCTTTTCTTTAATGCTGGTAGTGTATAATTATTTGCAAATAGATGCCTTATTAAACAACACTATTGAATAGACTTGGACTATATCATATCAGGAGATGTTGCCCTGATTTTTGTGGTCCTTTTAACATTTTCTAAGAGCATTTGAGGCAAATTTGAAATGCTACATAAAAGAAAGAGAGGCAGCAAGGAAGGCACCAAATTCATGTTCCATAGGCAGCTCTAATAGGGAAGGTTCAGCAAGTCAAGAGCAGGACAGAGGGTCTAGCAGCACAGAGATCTCATCCTCTGATAACACATACCAATACCAATACCAATACCAATACTATTACTAATGCTACATAGGTGCATGCATTAATATGTATGTCATTTAATGATTGTTTGCTGTATACAAAGGACTAGGCTTAACACTTTAAAAAATATGACACTTTAAAAATAATCCTGTAAGAAGAAACGATTAGTACTATTGTCATCTACCAATCAGGAAACAACATTTACAAAAAGGAAGCAAATTGCCTGCATTTACAAAGCAAGTCTGAGCCACAGCGAAGACAAATCTTTCTCATGCTATTGTCTATGCCCTTTTCCACCAGGAACACTGCCTTCTGTTTGCCTGTTTTTTTAAGGACAGCCTGTTTCATCGTTAGCCAAGGATACCCTTTTAGACGGGTTTGTATCATCATTTCATACTAAGATAGGAAAAAGGATTCTATTTCGTTTCTTCCCAGTCATTTCCATTCATGAACAATAGAGCACGTCCAGTTAACATCTAATTTAGTTTTTAAAATCACACAATGAGCTTAGGTCTTACCTTTGACACTATGCCTGCATAGCAACCCCAATGTGGGAACTTGGAAGTTAGAGAGACACATTCTCCGTCGGGATTCCAATCATAACCTGTGGCAGGTGCCACGTAAACACATATCTAAATAGAATGGCCACGCCAAAATGAGGAACTCACCTATTGCCCTAGAACTGAGCCAAAGCCAAGATGGACGAGAGGAACAGTGGCATTATTGAGGAGCGATGCTGCTGAGCATGACCTTCTTGCTACTAATTCTAGCCACACGTGAGCACTATTTCTGAACTGTGCAAATTTCTCTTCAATCTGGAGCATCTGTCCCAGGTCAGCAAAGGCTGTCAGAGGTCAGAGGTCTTTGGTCCTTGCCTGTAATCAGATATCATGATACTGGATGATTCTATAGGAAGGCCATTTTAGGGAAAAGAAGTCAGCAAGGAAGGCCCCTGTGTGTGGAGCTAGAGCTCATAGTGATATAAGAGTAGCAGTGTGGACACTCTCACAGTCTACCTCTGAGCACAGTCCAATTTTCCAGAGTGCGGTTATGAGGCCTGACAGTTACTGCTTCTTGGCAGAGCAGAGTGCTCCGGCTAAAGGCACCTCAGGTCTCCTACTTATAAAGAATCGAGTCTCCTAGGGTTTGCACCATCAAGACCTGCACATACTCTTCTGGGATTGCTTCATTGGAAGTTTTTTCAAACCCCCTTAAGCCTTACTTTCCACTCACCGATGGCTCTGAGGGAGCAATTAGTTTGTGAAACGAATTCATCATCTAGTTATAAGATAATAGTAATGAGATCATCGAAAAGGGTGCAATAAAGTGGGCTATATCTACATCTCTCCAAGATAGTTTGCATGGTAAAAGGTGCTCCAATGCTATTCTTACGTCACCTGCAGTGCTTTTTTGTGTGTTTAGGAGATGATCAGGCTGGCAGGCAGAAGTGGTTAGGGGCAATCAGGCAGGTGAGCAGTTGGGAGCCAGCAGTCCTGGATTGTGAGAGGGATGTCTGACTGCCCGTTTAGGCCCAGTCCTGGCCAGTGGGATCAGGCCTAAATGGGCAGTCGGACATCCCTCGAGGGGTCCCAGATTGGAGAGGGTGCAGTCTGGGCTGAGGGACACCACCAACCCCAGCACAAATTTCTTGCACTGGGCCTCTAGCTTAAAAATAAATCGTGTATATGACCATAGTGATTACAATGATAATCATTGAAATCCCAAAACTGTTATGAACACATTAAAAGCATTTTTAAATTTATTTTTATTGACTTTAGAGGAGAAGGGAAAAAGAGAGATAGAAACATCAATGTTGTGAGAGACTTATTGATTGACTGCCTCCTACGTACCTGCAATTGGAATTGAGCCCATAACCCAGGCATGTGCCCTTGTCCAGAATCAAACCTAGGAACCTTCAGTCCACAGGCTGACAATCTAAACAGTGAGCAAAATTTGCCAGGGTTAGGCCAAATTAATTTTATTTTTATTTTTTTAAATATATTTTTATTGATTTTGTACAGAGAGGAAGGGAGAGAGATAAAGAGTTAGAAACATCGATGAGAAAGAGTCATCGATCAGCTGCCTCTTGCACACCCCCTACTGGGGATATGCCCGCAACCAAGGTACATGCCCTTGACCGGAATAGAACCCCGGACCTTTCAGTCCACAGGCTGACGCTCTACCGCTGAGCCAAACCGGCTTCGGCGGCATCCTTTATTCTTAAAAACTGTTCTATTTGGATCATCTGAGCAGCTCCCACCAGGAAATTAAGGAATGAGAAGAGTTCTTCAAGTGGACTTAGGCTCCAGCGGGAATCCACCACATGTGAAATAACTGGAGCTCCATTGCCACCTTCTTCTTCAAGCTCTTGTTTCCTGAGGAACAAGGAGAATCAGCGCTGAGAAGGCTTGGAGGCATGTAGGCCAGGCGACAGGAAAGAGTCCGTCTCCCCTGCAGGAGCATGGCTGGCTCCCCACTCTGGTTGGAGGCACAGACACAGCAGTACTGGTAGGCCTGGCAGGTTCCTGGGCTGCTCTCTGATTCTGAGAAGGACAGACAAACTGGTCTCCACCCTGGCCCCTTCCTTTCCCATCATTCTCCTCTCAGTTTCCTTCCCTCTCCATTTCATTGTTAGAATAAATTGCAATAGTGTATTCTACATGCTTCAAGTATCCCAGGATTCTCAATGAATTCCAGTCATAAAAACAACAGTGCACTGCATTGAAACAGCCCATTATTGTTCTTCTTAGTGTATTTCAGCCAAAAGAAAAAGAGAGAGAGGAAAAGAGAGAGAGAAAAAGAGAGAGAGAGAGAGAGAGAGAGAGAGAGAGAGAGAGAGAGAGAGAGAGATGAAGGAATGGGGAACAATGTCACACTTTTTCAATGAAACTAACACCAAAGACACAGAATGGTCCCCTGGATGTACTGAAAAACACAAAGTCAAATCCAGATTTTCTAATGTGGCATCAGACCACAGTCACTGCTCCATGAATTTCCCCACCTGCCCTTCCCATATGCTCATTGACATGCTGACCTTGTACATGTAAATAAACTTGATACAGCCAGGGCCTGCTTCCAGGTCAAAACCCAACAGATAGAATTTCTAGGTGACAGCAGGTCACCGGTACCTTGGCTTCACTCAGAAGAAACCTGCCTTAGGTCCCTGCAGGAAGTCATTCTCTTTACACAACTCCATGTTTTCAACAATATTTAGACCGATGAAATGAGGGTTTATTCAGTTCAGGCATTGGAGGAGACAATCAAGGCAGCCAACATAGAGTGTCAAGGTGATGGGAGACAAAGAAGAGGACAAAGGGGTGTCGGTGGATAAAAAAAATAAAATAAAAATTGAGAAGCAGAAGGAGTAGGCTACTCTGCCTACTGTGGTAGGCTCCCTTTTACCTCATCAGCAATATGTTGTCCTCGAGAAAGCACAGCCCCAAGACTCAGAAAACCAGCCCTTAGGGCTTCATTCTGCCATCACTTCTTACATATGCTTCAAATTCTACCCACTTGAACTCTTTCAATCCTAGTCCCCACATTATAAAATGGAGGCAATCATAATATCTGGACGTTCCCATTAAAAAGATATTATTGAGAAGCATATAAAAGCAGTTTATAGGTTGCAAGGGCACTTCCATTGTTGGCTACTGTCCTTCCACTACAACTGCTCAGGAAGGAAGCCCAGCTGATGGAGGACTTTCCTGAGAGACGATTTTACTTCCTTGTTCCTGAGGCTGTAGATCAAGGGGTTCAGCATGGGGGTGACCAGGTTATTCAGGACCTGAACTGTTGCGTCCAGCCAGGGGTCTGACGTTGGCCGTAAGTAGATGAGGGCCACTGGCATGAAGGAAAGCAGGATGGCAGTGAGGTGGGCGCTGCAGGTGGAGAAGGCACGCCGCTGGCCCTCGGAGGAGCGGATCTGCAGGATGGAGTAGACAATGCGACTGTAGGAGGTGAGGATGAGGAGGAAGCAGCTGAGGGGCATGAGGCCCACGCTGACGAAGCCCACCACCTCCAGGGCGGCGGTGTCCGCACAGGCCAGCTTCAGC